GGTTGGATAGATGTGAGTTTGTGACCCTGGGTTTCACGCTTTAGCGATCGTCAGACAAACTGACGATCGCTAAAGCGTGAAACCCAGGGCAAACAAACAATCAACAAAATATATATATATATATATATATATATATATATATATATTTCTGATAAGCCCTTCATATAGGGTAGGCAGACCGAAGCTAATTTCTGAGTGTTGTTATCCTCTTGTACCCTTCTATCCCATGTACCCCCTGGTAGTTATTACGTTACTGCTTATAAAGACCATTTTTTGTTCGTATGTCTCTGGGTCGACACTTTTATTCGATGTTGTAGGCAGCGGGCGATCCCTAATTTTTTGCACTGTAGGGGTGGTGGGAGTAGAAGTTGAAGTATTGCCCGGTGAATGTTGACTTACGGTGTACGTAGGTCTTGAACCCATGTTCTCTTCGCGAGATTAGTACATTAGGAAAGGAGAGTTTGTTATTGTTTTCTCTCTCTTAATGAGTTCACTCACTCATCCTTCTCTCTCATTCATTTACTTTTTCTTTCTTTCTCGCTCACGCACTCTCACTCCCCCTTTCTCATTCTCTCTCATTGATTTTTCTCTCTTTCTCATCCACTCACTCACTCTCTCTCTCATTCTTCTCTCTCATTCATGTACTTTATCCTTTTTCACTAACTCACTCACTCACATTCTCTGACAACCTCTCTCTCATTCCTTTACTATATCTCTTTTTCTCACGCACTCACTCACTAACTCTCTCTCATTCATTCGGTCTTTCACTCATTTTCTCTCTCAACTTTTTCTCCCATTAGTTTACTTTATCTCTCTTTCTCATTCACTCATTCTCTTTCTCTCGTTTTCTCTTTCAACCCTCTCTCTCATGCATTTACTTTCTCTTCTTCATTCTCTCACCCTTATCTTTCATTTACTTTTCTCAATCATTCTCTCTCTCTCTCTCTCTCTCACTCATCCGTTTCTCTCGTTCATTTTCTTCTCGCTTTTTCATTCATTTTCTCTCTTTCAGCCTTCTCTCTCAATTATTTATTTTTTTCTCTTTCTCTCTCTCTCTCTCTCTCTCTCTCTCTTACTCACTCTTCCTTTTCTCTCATTCATTTACTTCATATCTCTTTTTCACTTATTCACACTATCTCGTTCTCTCCCCTATTCATTTACTTTTTCTCTCTTTCTCTATTACTCACTCTGTCACTCACCCATTTTATCACATTCATTTACTTTATCTCTCTTTCTCACTCGCTCACTCTCTCTCATCCTCTATTTCATTCATTTACATTATCTCTCTTTTCACTCTCTCTCACTCTCTCTCTCTCTCTCACTCATCTTTCTCACTCATCCATAAACTCTATATCTCTTTCTCATCCATAAACGTTCTATATTTATTTTTCTCTTTCTCATCCACTTCTCTCGTTCTCATTCATTTTATCTCTTTTGTCTCTTTCTCTCAATCCTTCTCTCTCATTCATTTCTCTCTCTCTCTCGTTGTCTCTCATTCATTTATTTTATCTCTCTCTCTCATTCACTCACCTTCTCTCTCACTGATCCTTCTCTCTCATTCATTTACTTTATCTCTCTTTCTCACTCACCTACTCTCAGTCATCCTTCTCTCTTATTCATTTATTTTATCTCTCTCTCTCTCATTCACTCAGATTCTCTCTCATTTATTTATTTTATCTCTCTTTTTCACTCACTCTCCATCTCACCCATGCTTCTCTCTCATTCATTTTCTTCATCTCACTTTCTCACTCACTCACTCTCTCTCACTCATCCTACTCTCTCATTCATTTATTTAATCTCTCTCTCTCTCTTATTTTCACACCGTATTACATATCTTTCTCGCTGAATGGAGTAACTGTTACCAACCACTAAATAGCAATTTCTGTAGGTTTTTTTCATTTTCTTGTGTGTTTTTTTTTTTTACAATGATTATAATGACATGTCGCTGACCATTAAACTCATTCAACTTTATTGCCAACTGCCTTTTTTGTCTATTTTTGTTCTTGTTTTTATAAATTAATTTGTTTCTTTGTTAGTTTTTATTTAGCCTCATATCAATTCCTTATGGAACATTTAATGCCAACTTTTTTTCTTTTTTTACAAATATCCGTTGCTGGTAATTTTTACTATTATTATATAAACATATTTTTTATACTTTCATATTGTTTTGACCACCGTTTAGAGACTAACTATTTCCTTATAGCTGGGGCCCTAACAAGCTGTACTTCTCCAGATTAGCATGGACCAGGGGACAACAACAATTAAATAGTAGTCCACGCTCCTCAAAACCTCCAATTTCCCTATCAGGAGCCTCGCTGCCGCATGGAGGTTGCTGTCATACCCGGGACGGTAAATTAAAACTATTGTACCAGAAGAATAAGTACTAGTTAATAGAAGACGCCCTTAAGATTGATAGCCTCAACACACGGTATCTGTCTATATTTCTGAGATGAGGTATCATGTACACTATTTACATTATTCGGATTATTGTCCTCATCTTTGTCGCCATATTTATCACAATGTTTCGGCCCTTCAATATCTGTCTTTATTTCTGAGAAGGTATTATGTCATTATTTATTATTCGGACTATTGTCCTCATCTTTGTCGCCATATTTATTACATAACGTTTCGGCCCTTCAATATCTGTCTATATTTCGGAGATGAGGTATTATGTACACTATTTACATTATTCGGACTATTGTCCTCATCTTTGTCGCCATATTTATCACAACGTTTCGGCCCTTCAATATCTGTCTATATTTCTGAGATGAGGTATTATGTACATTATTTACATTATTCGGACTATTGTCCTCATCTTTGCCATATTTATTCAACGTTTCGGCCCTTCAATATCTGTCTATATTTCTGAGATGAGGTATTATGTTCACAACATTATTCGACTATTGTCCTCATCTCTGTCGCCAATTTATCAATGTTTCGGCCTTTTATATCTGTCTATATTTCTGGGATTATTATTACACTATTTACATTATTCGGACTATGGTCCTCATCTTTGTCGCCATATTTATTACAACGTTTCAGCTCTTCAATATCTCTATATTTCTGAGATGAGGTATTATGTACATTATTTACATTATTCGGACTATTGTCCCCATCTTTGTCGCCATATTTATTACAGCGTTTCGGCCGTTGTACGCTCCGGCCTTCTTCAGGTGGTTGCAATGTCGAACTGAACCCTCACTGGGGTAGACTGTTCTAGTTCCACGTGTCATGTTTAATGGATGTCAGTTATAAGTTATCTCCTGTTAATTTTCCCTCTGAAAGTTCTCCACTGCCTTAGCCGGGTATTGAACTAACTCTCTTTGTGATCTGTCACTGGATCTAACCAACGCCTTTATCCACTGTGCCTTGGAACTGGAACAGTCTACCACAGTGAGCGAAATAAAGGATTAAGTTCGACATTCCAACCACCTCCGGAGCGTACAACGGCCGAAACGTTGTAATAACTATGGCGACAAAGATGAGGACAATAGTCCGAATAATGTAAATTATGCTCAAGACACGGTATATCACATACTTCAGTCCACCCATCAACTTTTTGGAAAATATGTTATCCTGAAATTATACTGGAATCAGACCGCCTGCATATGGATAAAACTATCAATCCTCCTCTATACCAGTGAATTTTCTTGTCAATCTCCTCACAAGTGAAGAAGAGACTTGCAACAGCAGAAATTTGTTTCTACAGAAGGATGCTGGGGATACAATGGACCGAATATGTGAGGTATGTGATGAATGAGAATATATGAGAGAAAATGGAAACAAAAAGGACATTTATACCAAACATCAGGAAGACACAGTTGAAATTTCTAGGACATATCATGAGGAAAGGAGGCGTGGAAAATCTGATACTCACAGGTCAGATTGAAGGTAAGGGGAACAGAGGAAAACAACGCATAACCTACCTAACGAGCTTATGTAAATGGATGGCGGAACAAGATTTATAAGAGGTAACAAAGAGGTTTGTTAAGAGCTACAAAGAACAGGAAGTTGTGGAGGGTCGTGATCGCCATTGTCCTGAAGAGACATGGAACATAGAAGAAGAATATGAATGGGCTTGAGTAAATGGATGGTGGAACAGGGTTTAGGAGAAATAACAAAAAGACAAAATTTATTAAGAACTACGACGGACTGGAAATTGTGGAGGGTCATGATCGTCATTGTCCTGACGAGACACAACATTTTAGAAGAAGAAGAAGAAGAAGAAGAAGAAGAAATAGAAGAATGAACTTCAGTAAATGGGTGGTGGAACAGGGTTTAGGAAAGATAATAAAAAGACAAAATTTATTAAGATCTATGACAGACGGGAAGTTGTGGAGAGTCATGATCGCCATTGTCCAGAACAGACATGGCACATAGAAGAAGAAGAATAAGCTTGAGTAAATGGATGGCAGAACAGGGTTTAGGAGAAATAACAAAAATACAAAATTTATTAAGATCTATGACGGACTGGAAATTGTGGAGAGGCATGATTGTCTACGTCCAGAAAGGACACGGCACATAGAAGAAGAAGAAGAAGAAGAAGAAGAAGAAGAAGAAGAAGAAGAAGAAGAAGAATTTCAAGAATTAAGGATTTCGTTTGATGACAAGTGATCGTTTCTGAATTGGTCCTCAATTGAATTAGCTGCACAAACCTGGGACCAATATCAGTGACTCTTAAAACGCTTTTGTGAAGAGAGTCTCCCAGACTGAAGACATACAGTGGTTTAAAACCTCTTTCTCTATTTATTTATGCTTGGAAACTATGGCAGTTACTTTTTTCGCACTGATATGATCTGGAATATCTGTCTCAGTCAATTGTCTGCTTGAAGCATTTCAATTTAATTTTCCTCCATTTTTGTTTTGTTTTCTTCTTTTTGTATTTTTTATAGCCTTTTCATGGCTGCCCCTTTCATCTTTTTCTCTTTTTCTCCATTATTTCTGTAATTTATGCAATAATTGCTCTAAAACATATTTCATTGATTAAAGAAGAGAAAATACAACTGCTATGTTTATCTATTGTTGTTATTTATAGATTAACCCATATTTTTCTGGGATTTCCTTTTTCTATACCGTCCTAAGTATCACGATAAACTACATCTGCGTCCAGGGTAAGATGATCAAATACATCCGCGTCCAGGGTAAGACGATAAACTACGTCCAACAGCAAGGCCTCTGATCAGGAAGTTTTGAACAGCGTGGAACCACCTCTTAATTGCTTGTGTTCCCATTTCCACCCTGATCCGGGGTGGTAGCACCTGTTAGGGTCCCAGCTATGGGCAAATAGTTAACCCCGAAACTGAGGTTAAAAGCATTATAAAAGTGTAAAAATAGGTTTTAATACCAGAAATACTTTTAAAAAATTATTACCAGAAATAAATTTTTGAAAAAAATATATTACTAGCAATACGTTTTTGAAAAAAAATATTACTAGCAATACATGTTTCCAAATAATATTACCAACTATACATTTTTGAGGAAAAAAAATATTACCAGAAATAGATTTTTGACAAAACAAAATATTACCAGGAAAAAAAAGTTGTCGGCATTAAATAACACATTGAGGTTAATATGCCGTAAAACAAAACAAATCAAACCAAACAAACCAAGTGAGTAATTAAAAAAAAACGAAAATAAAACCATTCCACTAATGTGTATATATATATATATATATATATATATATAATTACATTAATACATTGAGCTCTTTTTGGGGATCAATTTTAATATTTTATATTATTAGGAACCAGTTGGATTATCTACCAATGGTTTATTACCTCTACTATGTGTGTGTGTGTGTGTAGTCAGCGCTGTCATCATTGCATCTGTTCAGTTAGACGAATTGGTAGGTTCTCAACTGAAAAGTTGGACAATCCTGCATCGGAATCGATGGGACTGCCTATTCTATTGTCTTAGATATATATAAAGGTAGCAAAGATTGTGTTCCGCCAATAAAAAAATCTCGAGGATAATGCTTTAAAGGCAAATAATTTAAAATAGAGCATAAGCAGAACAAAATAAATCTAATAAAAATTTTAATAAATACATAATTTTAAAGTACTTTATTTAATTTGTTTTATCTCTCTCTCTCTCTCTCTCTCTATATATATATATATATATATATATATATATATATATATATATATATATATATATAAACATAGAAAAAATTACCCCTCCGCCACACACAAATAATCAAACAGATTACAAATTAATATCCATGCACTCATATATGTTAGCTCTATCACGGACATTGGGCACTTTCCACTAAGTACCGCGCATATATATATATATATATATATAACGGATAGCGGCTTGGATTGAGGAATCGGAGAGCCGAGTTCGAATTCCAGTTGAATCCATTACATTCACTTACATGCTAATACGCTAGGGAAAGGTATGAATCCAGCTATGGGTAAATACCAGGACAGACTGGGTTCTATAGCCTTGGATGGCAACTGGTCTAGGAGAAGGACAACTCTGAATTCAAAACCTACGGAGGGTCGTTTGTGGACCTTGTGGCACTTAGTGCACCAGGTCTCCGTATTCGGCCCTTCAAAAAGTGTGGATGGTCCTGCACGAAGCCTTCACCACTATAATCAAATATCATGTGCTGGTGTCGGGCTGTCAGTTTCCTGAAACTGATCTGCTTTACCCTCATACGTCGAATTCGACGGGAGACTCAGTATATATATATATATATATATATATATATATATATATATATATGAAGACTGGTATGTGTGTGTGTCTGTGTCTCTATGTGTGTGTGTGTGTGTGTGTGTGTGTCTGATAA